CACCCTTAGCCGTGCCTTCTGCTGCTGGGCCTCGCATCTGCCCCGCTGTGGGCTGGAGTGGTGGCTCTAAGGTCCCAACCTGTGGTTCTGCTGGTTGTGACGTGGGCAAGCTGGGGGTTCTGCTTCCATTTTCTCTCTGCAAAGTGGGGTTCGCTATTGTCTCCCCCTTTAGAGCTGAGGGGTTGTTGAGAGACTCTTAGCACTTGGCCCAGAGTGGCTGTGTCAGTGTCTTGGGGCTGCTGAAACAAAGTACCACAAACAGGGCTTAAGACAGTGCAAATTTATTGTCTCAGTTCTGGGGCAGCTAAAAGTCCAAAATCGAGTGATCGGTAGTGGGGCTGTCCTCTCTCCAGAGGCTCCAGGGGAGGCTTCTTTCCTGCCTCTTCCAGCTTGTGGTGGCTCCAGGCGTCACGTGACTTGTGGCATATCCATCAGCTTCTGCCTGTGTTGTCCCGGGGCATTCTCCCCGCGTCTCTCTCTGTCCAGATTCCTCCTTAGAGGGCACCAGCCGTGTTGGGTCAGGGCCCGCTCTGTCAGAATGAGCTCACTGGGGCAAACTGGATGTGTGACGATCTCGTTTCCGAATAAGCTTGTGTCCTGAGTTACTGGGGGTAGAACTTCAGCATCTTGTTGAGGGACACAACATACTACACTCCACTGTCCGGCCCTCCCTGAAACTCCTGTCCTTCCTCCGTGCAAAACACATTCAAGCAAGGTCCGCAGAAGTCCTTACCTTTCCAGCATCGACTCCAAGTTCACAGCAACCCCAAAGTCCAGTGTTGAGTATCATCTGAATTGGGGGAGAGCACGATGGTGCAGCTCATTCTGGGCAGGGCTCCCCTCTAGCTGCGAACTTGGGAGAGTGGACCGGGAGTTGGTGCTTCCAAAGGGCATCTGGGAAGGTGTAGGGCCGATTGCATTCCAAGAGGAAGACTTCTGAAGGAAGGAAGGGGTCGCAGGCCCCAGGTCAGTCGAAAGCCAGTAGAAAAACTTGGGTGACCTCATGGCTGTGTTCCCAGCCTGCCGGCCAGGCCTCTACACCTCCCCCCAGCCTCAGGTGGCTCCCCTCCTTCAGTGCAGGCTGTTGCCTGATTCTCTGGGCCCGTCCACCCTCACGCACTCCCTTCCTGCCAGTCCGTCTCCGTCCGGGCTCTTCTGCAGCTGTCAGTGGGCTCTGGGGTTAGAGCACGGGTCTCTGGTGCCCTCTGGGCTCAGTCTCCTGCACGGAGCAGGTGTGCGGCCACCGTGAGGCCACCCTCCCACGCTTCCCTCAGCCCGGCCTGTGCACACGGGCCTCAGCCACCTTGTGGTGGGGTCGCACGTCCTCCAGTTTGACGGCTCCTCGGCATGTCATTCCTTCCCACGTTCCTGCCAGTAGTCCCTTCAGGGCAGTCCGGGCTTCACAAGCGTGTGCCCCCCACCCAGCTCCGTGGACACCCCCATTCCTGGGTGTTTGCTGCAGCAGTGTCCCTTCCCACTAGCTGCCATACCAAAGCGTCCGTCCTGCAGGGCAGTGCGGAGACCAGGGTGTCAGCATGGCTGTGGGGTGGCCCCTCCTGCCCCTCCCGGCATTGGGGGAGGGGCTTTGCAGGCCTTACTTGGGGTCTCGGCGTGTGGCCGTGTCCTTGTGGCCTCTGCCTCCGTCCTCACACTGTCCACCCCCCCCCAGGGGACGCTGGTCATGTTCGGTCGGGGCCCCTTGTACTTCAGGTGACCTCGTGTCACTGGCCCCACCTGCGATGATCCCCTCTCCAGCTCAGGTCACACTCGGGGGAAGGGGTCAGGATGCGGACATGTTTCTAAGAGACAAATCTATCCGCAGTGCTCGCTGCACCTCCCGTGCTGTGTTAGACAAGCTGGTTGAGCAGGTGGGAGTGGGAGCCAGAGCCCCGTCCTCTCCTGCTGCTGCTGCTGACAGCCTGGTAGGGGCAGGTCAGGGAGCCCTTCCCTCACGGTTCCGCCGGGCCTCCCATGCTAACTCCGGCCCTCCCCAGGCCATGCGGACCCTCAGCTGGAAGCACACCCTGGGCCTGGTGACCATGGACGTGGAGCTGGCCGACCGCACCCTGTCTGTGGCCGTGACTCCTGTGCAGGCGGTGGTCTTGCTGTACTTCCAGGACCAAGGTGAGCCCCCGACTTCTAGCCAGCCTGCCCCCGCCATGCCTCCCCAGGGGCCTGTGCCACCCACCTGCTGAGCACCTACTGACCTCTGGGAAGCCGGGGTGGGGGGGCCCACGCAGCAGGGGTGGAGGGCGGGGAAGCTCGGCCTTGCCCCGTGGGCACAGTGGCCCCGGCTTCCCCGCACAGCCAGCTGGACCCTGGACGAGCTGAGCAAGGTGGTCAAGATGCCCGTGGCGCTGCTGCGGCGGCGGATGTCGGTGTGGCTGCAGCAGGGCGTGCTGCGGGAGGAGCCGGCCGGGACCTTCTCTGTCGTGGAGGAGGAGCGGCCGCAGGACCGGGACAGCATGGTGCTCATCGACAGCGATGAGGAGAGCGACTCGGGCATGGCCTCCCAGGCTGACCAGAAGGAGGAGGAGCTGCTGGTGCGGCTGCGGGGCTGGGGGGGCGGCTGCGGTGGGGGGCGGTGGTCCGGCTGGGCAGGGGTCAGGGGGGCCTGACGGCCGGCGGGCATCTGTCCGCGCAGCTCTTCTGGACGTACATCCAGGCCATGCTGACCAACCTGGAGAGCCTCTCGCTGGAGCGCATCTACAGCATGCTGCGCATGTTTGTGGTCACGGGGCCCGCGCTGGCCGAGATCGACCTGCAGGAGCTGCAGGGCTTCCTGCAGAAGAAGGTGCGCGACCAGCAGCTCGTCTACTCGGCTGGTGTCTACCGCCTGCCCAAGAGCTGCAGCTGATGCCCCCCCGGGCCTGCCCAGGCCCCCGCAGCGCGGAGTAAAGCAGATGGTTCTCTGTCCTCTCCCTGTCCTGGTGGCTTTGTGGGCCCATCAAGATCCTGTGGTCCAGGCTCTCCCTCCAGACTGATCTCGCCACCCCCGCTTCGCAGGACCTGGCTCCCTGGGAGCAGGCGAGGGGAAACACATGGGTGGCCAGGCCCCCATCCTGGCCTATACACCTGGGTTGGGCTCCAGACCCAGAGCCCCAGCACACAGGTGTCCCTAGGCCACACCAGCTGGTGACAGCTCACCTCTGAGCCCGAAGCTCAGGCGGGAGCACCCACACCAGAGGGTTCTGGCCCCGAGCTGCACTCTGGCCTTTGGAAGGAGCCCTTGGGTCCCCAGCCCTTTTCCTGGCCTGAAGGTCCGGGGGTGTTGCTGGGATGCATGGACACAGCTGGGCATCTCCTCACATGGTCAGCAGGAGGGGCTGGCTGTTTGTGGTTCACACTAAAGTTAGTTTCTGTGCCCTCAGACACATGGTCAGGAGAACAGGGGAAGACTTCTGAGAGTCCAGCCTCTAGTGCAGCTGGGAGGCCAGTTGTGTCCAGAACACACAGGGGGGCCTGTCCCTGCCCCTGCCCCAGAGGTCCCAGAAGGTGGAGAAGGGTGTTGGCCCCACCTGGGCTAGTGCCGCAGCCTCCGGTGCTGGGAGCTCCGCTCTAGCTGGGGCCACTGTCCTCCCAGGCGACAGAGGCCTCTGGGAAGGAGTCTCCACCCTCCTGCTTGTGCCCTCCCAGGCCTGGAGCCATGCCTGCTGCCCCTGCACACCCTTGGGGTCCTCCCCCCCGCCCCCCGGCTGTCTTCCAGTGCCCACCTCTCCTTGGGCCTGTTGCACAGGGGCCCTGAGGTCAGCCCTCTTCTGGGACTTCCCCTTCTTACCCCAGAGCACTCTGTTTGCCACAGGTTTGGAGGACAAAGTGGTGGAAACTAGGCATGTAGTCTTAGCAGGCAGTGTCTCCCTCCCTTGGTCTCTGTCCGCCACCAAGGCTGCTCTGCTGTGGTCACTTAGGAGAAGGGGCCTCCCTCTTTCCTCCAAATTCTGGGTGGGTGCCCTGGAGCCTCTGACACCCGCCATTCCCCCCACACGGAAGGGCACCGGGCACCAGGCTGAGTGTACCTTTGTCGTCCTAAGCAGGATGCAAACCTGCTAGACTGGCCTGGCAGGGGGCGGTGTCCACTCCTGGGCGCAGCGCTCCTGCTTCCTGTGCCTTTGGACATGGTTTGTGGACAAATGTGGTTAAAAAGCTGTGTCTTGGGTTACAGCATGAACAGGTACAGAGGTGTGCCAGAAACTGCTGGCTGGTCCCTGACCGCTCTCCTAGGAGGGGTCACTGTGTCAGGAGTCAGGGAGGTCCCCGGTGGGCAGGGGTCAGCTGGGGCCCCTCTGCAACCTTGCCCGTGGTGCCCTGTGGGGTCAGCCATTTGAGGGGGGCAGTTCCTCCTGCTGCCTGGGTGGTTTGCTTGGCCAACCCCTTAGGGGAAGAGGGAGGGGGTGCAGGAGGCCAGGGAGGCGGCTGGGGTTAACCCTGAAGATGCCAGCCTGCAGGTGGGCCCTTCAGGCAGCACTTGGCCGCTTGACAGAAGATGCACCGTGTCCGAGCCAGCTGCCCCCAGGGGAGGTGGTTCTGGGAAGACCTGTGGGTGGTGCCCCCCACCTCCCTGGGGGGTGGAAGGACCCTGGAGGTTCCCCCGGACCTGAGCACTGGTGGGGTGTAGGCGAGATCCTCCTCAGGACAGCCAGTGTGAGGGAGGGCAGTGAGCACAGGTGTCCCCCTCGACCCCTGCTTGTCCCAGCCTCCAGGGATCCTGAGACAGAACCAGGCCCTCCCCTCCCCCCACAGGTTTTCCAGGTCACTGTCTCTGCCTTCCCAGGGGCCTGAGCATGGATGTTATCCCCTTTCCCGAGAAGCACCATCCCCCAAGGCCAGGGCAGCCCCATCCTTGCCTTGGTCCTGGGTCCAGCAGGGCACTCTGAAGTGGCTCCCAGGCCCCTGTCCACCCTACCTGCCCCACCCCAGAGCAGCCTGCCCAGAACTCCTCCACTCCGGCCCCCAAGCTCAAGTGACGCGCCAGCTGAGGCCCTGCCCCCACCCCTCCGCTTCAGAGCCCCACTGTGAGGTCAGCGCCTTCCGATGGGTTCCGTCCAGAGGTGTGTGGTGGGGCTGGGGGCTGGACATGGCCCCCTGTCCCCAGCCTGACTCCTGCCTGGTTGGCAGCCCCCTTGGCCGGATATGTTTGTCCCTTTTGCTCAACCCTGCTGCAGGTGCCTCCTCCTGCCCCCAGCCCTGTCCCTGCGAGGACCCCTGCTGCAGCCTTCCGGTGGCCGCCAGGGGGAGGGGCGGCCCTGGGGGTCCTCCACCGGCAGGTGACGAGGGCCCCTCGGCCGCGCGGGCCCTGTCTCTGCAGCTGGAACGTACTGCGAGTGCAGCCTCGGCCTCAGCCGCGAGGCCCTCATCGCCCTGCTCGTGGTGCTGGCGGGCATCGGTGCCAGCTGCTTCTGTGCCCTCGTCATCGTGGCAGTTGGTGTCATGAAAGCCAAGAGGTGCATGAGCCCCTGGGCCGGGATGGTGGGTGAGGGCCACAGGGCCGCGCTGGGGGAGGGGCGTCTGGCCCTGGGTGGGATGTCACCAGGAGCTGGGGAACGCCATTTCCCAGGCCAGGTTGTGGAGAGGTGGGGGGACGTACTTCCGGGCCTCTAGAGGCCAGCCCCACTGTTCCAGGATTCACTCCTCCCTTTGTCCCTCCAGTGAACCATGCCCCAGACACATGAATAGCAGGTGAGTAACCTCAGGGGAGGACCCCACAGGTGAGCCGGGCTCCTGCTTCCTGCCCCCAGGGCGGGGGTGTGTGTCACGTGCTTCGGGAGCATGAAGGAGCACTGACAGGAGGCCCAGGACTGCCCTGGGAGGGGTGTCAAGGCCTCGTGAGGCCTGTGATGGTGGCTGCCTGCTGCCAGCCTGGCCCGGCCCCTGTCGTGCAGGCTGGTGGGGCACTACGGGGTCCAGGAAGATCACATGGATCTACACACCGTGCAAGTGGGGCCTCATGTCATGGACCCTGACCTGGAGGTCTCTATGATGCCACCCCTGGAGGAGCAAGGCCTCATGACCATCCCCATGGACCCCATGTCCCCAAACGTGACTGTAGTAGAGGAGCCGCCCCCTCTCGCCCCCCCAACCTGAGCAGGGCTGCAGGCAGCCTGGGGGAGGGGAATTAAACAGTATTGAGTGCTTCTGCCTTGTCCTCCTCCAGCGGCTGTGCAGCTGCGTCACGGTGGGGAGGGGTTAGCATACACCCGGGTCATCTCCTGCATCCCGTGTGGGGAAGGATGCCCAGGGCCTGCACAAGGCACCCACTGTCCACCCCCCCAGGGCAGGGAAGCACAGCCCTGGTATTTCCACCTCTCCTTGCCTTGGCCTCAGCCTAGCTCCTCCCCACATCTTCCTGCTGCTGTGTCCTGTGAAGCTAGCACACCTGTCCACCCCACCCCCACACCGGGAACCTCAGGACAGGATATGCAACTCCGATGACTCCAGAGGGAGCAGTGTTCGACAGAAGAACTTGGCCGGGTGCCTGTGCCGTACCCAAGCTGTCTCCTTGAGGTTCTAGGACAGTCCTTAGAGAGCCAGGTGGGGCAGACATTCCTGTCCCCCTGCCTCGTACCCTGTCCACCCTCCAGCCTATCCCCTGGGCTCAAGCCCCCGTCCTGTGCTCCTGACCCCACCAAGTCATCCACTATGGGGATGGGACCACCCCTCTACTGGGGGGACAGCACTGTGTGTGCTGGGGTCTCTTGGCTGGGCAGGAAATGGGCTGGGACTGGGGCGAGCAGCAGGGCTCACGGGGTCCCATTCCACGTGTGGCATCAGTTTGGTGGGTGTGGGTGTCGTCCAGTGGCTCAGGCCTCAGTGGGGCGCAGGGTGGTGGGTACCCCAGGGCAGGAGGGAAAAGCGTCTTGTCAGCGCTGCAGCTGGCACAGAGCCAAGAGGAGCCCAGCTCCGGGACAGGTGGCTGGCGGTGCAGGGCGCTGGCTGTCTGCCCCGCCCCCGCCCTAGGTGCGGGACTGGCCTTGGAACAGGAACTGCCGGCACTGGGCCGGAGATTTAGTATTTGTGCAGGCGCGGTGGAGACCCGCTGGCTCCGCAGACGCACAAGCAGCGGGCTCCTCGCGCTGCCCCATGCGGAGGCCCTCCTTCCCCTCGCGGCGGCCGCCACCGCCAATGCTGCTGTTGCTGCTGTCGCCGTGGCCAGTCTGGGCCGAGTCGTCCACCGCGGCGGCCACCTCGGGAACCCCAGGCACCCCGGACTGCCCCGAGGCGTGCACGCGCGCGCCGGGCGGCCTGGTCAACTGCTCGGGGCGCGCTCTGCCCGCCGTGCCCGCGGGCCTGAGCCGGGGCGTGCGCGCGCTGCTGCTGGACCACAACCGTGTGCGCGCGCTGCCGCCCGGAGCCTTCGTGGGCGCCGGCACGCTGCTGCGCCTGGACCTGCGCGAGAACGGGCTGCGCTGGGTGCACGCGCGGGCCTTCTGGAGCTTGGGCGCGCTGCAGCAGCTCGACCTCAGCGACAACTTGCTGGAGGCGCTGGCGCCCGGCACCTTCTCGCCCCTGCGCGCGCTGCGCTCCCTGTCGCTGGCAGGCAATCGGCTGGCGCGCCTGGAGCCCGCGGCGCTGCGCGCGCTCCCGCTGCTGAGCGCGCTCAGCCTGCGGGACAACCAGCTGTCCGCGCTCGCGCCGGGCCTGCTGGCCGGTCTGCCCGCTCTCCACGCGCTGCACCTGCGCGGCAACCCCTGGACCTGCGGCTGCGCGCTGCGCCCGCTCTGCTCCTGGCTGCGCAGGCACCCGCGGTCCGCGCCAGGTGAGGCCTCGGGGCGACCGGGGGAGGGGCCGGCACTCGCGGCCGCAGTCCCCGCCGTCGTCTGACTCGGCGCCCGTTGTCCCGCAGAGGCCAAGACGCTGCTCTGCGTGTTGCCGGGGCGCCAGTCGCTCAGCCCCTTGACCGCCCTCACGGACGCCGCCTTCAGCCACTGCTCGCAGCCCCTAGGCCCGTGGGACCTGGCCGTGGTCTACGTGCTCGGGCCCGTCTCCTTCCTCGCCAGCCTCGCCGCCTGCCTGGCGCTGGGCTCCGCGCTCACCGCCTGCCGCACGCGGCGCTCCCGCGCGGGTGTCCTCAGCCGCCTGAGACCGCGCGCCGGTGACCCGGGGGCCCCCGCCGCCTCTGCTCGGGCCTGAGCGGGCCTTGGCTGTTCTCGAATCTTCCCCCGTCCCCTGCCCTTCTTTTCGGTCCCTGAAGGCGTCAACAAGCGACACAGAGATTTTCGTGACATTCCTTTAGACATCACCACTGCACAAACCGGGTCGGGGGCAGTGCGCGCCGGGCCCCTGGGCGGAGGGGCAGCGCGCGGCTGCGCACGGGCCGCACGGGGAAGGCACGCGCTCGGCACTGGAAGGGCTGGGCCTGTACAAGTCGGAGGGCAGGGCTGAGGACGGTCCCGAGCCAGCGCGTGTGGGGAAGCCTATCCTGGGCTGCAGGCTGGAGGAGGCGGAGAGCTGGCTCGGCCCTCGTGGACACCGGAGGAAAGGGTCAGAGGCAGCGGAGAACCCCAGCGCACGGCTGGGAGGCAGCTGCCTGCTGAGGGTCCGGGTCAGCCCTTGGGGAGGGGCAGGGCCAGCTGGATGGATGCGGGGCCGGAGGCGAGAAGGGTAAGAAAAGGAGAGGGGTGGAGCCGAGGCTGCCCAGAGCAGGCACTGGAGGACGGGGTGACCCAGCCAGGTGGGGCCTTGCACCCCCACTGTGGCTCTGGTAGTGGCTGGGGAAGGTCGGGGCTTACAGTCTCTGCTCCAAGCCCCTCCGGGGCCAGGGTAGCCCCTCTCCCCCACTACTTAGAGACCCCAGGGCCCCTGCCTCTGCCGGAGCGCCCTGTGGCCCTGCCCAGCCAGCTCAGCTCTGGCCTGTCCTCAGCCGCTCTGGTCCGAGCCTCGGTCCAGCAGGGGCTGCCCGCCAGGCAGCAGGGCGGACAGACAGACGGGAGGCCCAGGGTGGGCAGTCTTGGGCGGGCGGGCTTCCCTCAGGCCTTCCCGAGCAGCAGGACCCATCAGTGTCCTTGGCCGGGCTAACTGGGCAGGTGGGCGCCTCCGGGGGCCTCACACCACGGTGCTGACCGAGGGATCTGAGAGGTTGAGCGTGCCCGTGATATCAGTGGGATGGTACTGCTGCAAAATAGAAATACACAGACAAGGCAGCCCGTTAGCCCCCACGCCCGGGGGCTCGCGCAGGGCCGGGACGGGTGGGCCGGCCAGCCGGCCGACCGGCGGGCGGGCAGGCGCGGCCTGGGGGAGGCTGGGGGGCGCTCCTCCCCCTGACCCGTCGTGCTCCGGGACTCTGCGTGGGCCGGGCCGCTGTCCCGTCCATCTGTCTGTCTGTCTGCGGGGGAGGGGGGCAGAGGAGGGCGGGCAGGGCGTCTCAGCTCTCCCTATGACGGGCACACATCTGCAGCTGGCCCTCCTCCCTCTCAATAGCGCGTCGCGGCAGCACTGTGTCTTTTTGGTTTTGCAAAGCGCCGCGTCCACCCCCGGTGCTCTATAAATAAGAACCAACAATCAATACCCGCTGGCCCCGCTGGCCGCCAGGGGCCCCAGCCCTGAGCGCCCAGTGCTGCCCTGGCCCAGACCGGCCACAGGACAGGGCCAGAGGATCGTAGCGGCCGGACCGACCCCACCCCTCCCAGCAGAGCCCCCCACCCAGGCCTCCCTCCAAGCAGGTGCCCAGCCCGAAACAGGATGGGAACTGGGTTGCCCTCCCCCGCCCAGCCCCTCCAGCTGGCAGCACCCCCAGTCACCCCGACAGGCCAGGTCCAGCCCCACATGCCCCGTGGTATCAGGGCCGGCCTGGGAGATGGTCCCCGGTGCCTGCAGAGGCTCGGACAGAGTCTGCTGGGTTTGTGTCCCTGGAAAGGCACCTCAAAGGTCTCGGAGTTGCACCTGGACCAGCTAAGGGGCATGAGGGTTTTCTTTGGGTGGGGGATTGGGGAGAATCAAGGATGCCCTCACAAAACAGCCTACGGCCTGTGTGACTTCTGTGCTCCTCCCTGGAAGTGCTGTCTATGAGGGTACCCTCTCCCCAGGCCTGCCCACACCTCCCCTCTCTGGTCTTGGGTCTCTTCCTGAACCCCTTGGCAGGGCCCCGGCTCAGGCTCTGTCCACTTTCTCGGGCCTGTGAAGCCCCAGGCTGTGTTCCCAGCTCCCGGCCCCTCCCTCTTCACCTGCCCTCCCAGTGCCAAGCCGCTCCTGGGAAGCAGAGCAGCCAGGCCTCACGGACCCCTCTCGGGGCCCCCTGCAGCTTTGCCCTGGCCTGGGATCATTCTGTGCCAAGCCCTGCCTGTGTCCTGGAGATCTGCCCCCTTTCCAGTGCACTGTGTGTGTGGCTGGGTGGGTGGGTGCAAATCCCGTTTCTACCTCAGAGCATAAGCCGCTGCAGGATGGAGGCCAAGCCGGGCCCTGGACTGCAGGGAGGCCAAGGGCAGTGCTAAGTCTGGGCCACCCCCTCCCCACCTTGGACCGGGGTGCCCCTAGAAAGGCTGGGTCCATTTTAAGGGCTTTATTCCAAGTGTGCACAGCTGGTGCGGTCACAAGCTGCCCAAGGTAGGAGGCCTCCTCTGACACCCTGTGGGGATGGGCTAGAGGGTCAGGAGCTTGTCTCCCTGGAGGGCCCTCCTGCCCAGGGGGAGCCTCAGTGACTCCGGCTCTGCAGGCCGTGGCTCAGCCTGGGGTGGGCTCCACCCCCTCTGGTGCTTCCCAGTCCCCGCCTGATAGTCCCCTGCGGCTGGGGGCCTGTTCCACTTCCAGGCCCCAGCCATCCACCCAGATGGAGCCGGGCCCGGCCCCCAGCCCCGGCCCACACAGAGACCACATGAAGGGGATGCAACAGGCATGGCTCTGGTGAGACACGTGAGACAGGTGTCTGGGTGGCGGGGCTGGCGGCCAGACAGATGGGCGGATGGGACAGCACAGCCACCCCTCCCTGGAGGTCGCAAGGGGGTAGAGAGGGCAGTGGGCTCCCCTGGGCGAGGCTGGAGAAACGGGTGTAACAGAGAGGTGGCATGGCCTCCCGACAGGTGAGGAGTCCAGGACCGACTGGCTGTGGGCTCCCAGGGGCCCTGGGCTCAGAGGCCGACTGGCTGACCAACGACATGACACAGCTTCAAGATGGCGCATGGCGTCATGGCATGGGGGCAGA